AGAGAGAGGGAGAGAGAGAGAGAGAAGATGCTTTTTTTCTTTGCACCCGTTAGTACTATAGTCTCTGGCTCTCACAGAGTACCGGTGTATGCTCTACGTGTGAGCTTCACTGAATGTTTCGAGACAGAACGTTGTGCAAACAGGCAACCCATCTGGAGTAGATGTCGCTGTGCTCCTTGACGAAGAAAAAACTATAATGTTACTGGTACTTTCCGAAACACGAAACCAGGAAGCCAGGAAGTCCACAAACCACAAATCAATACACAACAACACACTGACATACTGCCACTGCCACTGCCACTGCCTCTGCTTCAGCTTACCCCTTACACATTGTTGATTTAAAAGCTATTACTTTTCACCTGAGGTGAAATGCATTGGAATGTTTGAGGATATTTGCTTTATTCCTTCCTATTTTAGCACCCTAGATCTACATAAGGTGAGTCCGTTAGGTTAGAACTTAAAAGAATAGGAATAGATTAGATAGGGCTTCTTGTCTTGTTTGACATATTACTCTCTAATAACTTGATTTTGGTGGAAAGGTATTCTAGGATCTAGATTACTCTACTTTGAGTCGGAGTTTTGAGATGGTAGATCTAGGCTTGAGGCTAGCTTAACACAAGGACTTGTAATTGTAACGCTGGGTTTGTGCTGTTGTCTGCCTTTAGGCAAGACCATGTTATTTCAAAGAGGTCTTTCGGTACACTGGTCTTTCTTTCACGGTCTTTCACAGCCTGGTCAAAGTCTTGTGACTGGTAGATCTTTAAAACTGCAACATCCATCGTTTATGGTGTAAGTTTCTTCCCGTCCTTTCACAGCCTGAGTCTTGTGACTGGGTAAAATCAAAATTATTTAGAAATTACCAAAACTAATGCAATGTGAACATCGTTTATGGTAGTATAGGCCTAAAAGTTTCTCCCCGTTCTCAAATTCAAGAGCAACCGTTTTTTAAAAAGGCCACCATATATTCTCACCCCTTGTCAAAACTAAAAACTGCAAAACATCAGATAATGGGAAATACTGGGGGACATGCCCCCCTGAAACCCCCCATGTTGTTAAAAACAAATGAAATATACTACTCGGTTGTGCCTTTGTAATATGGCTGAGTAAGTGCGTGCACTGAAATTCAAATTTTGCGTGCAAGGTATCATAGTTTGCTATACTCACACAATTGTCTGTACAGTCATACCTGCGTAAAACGGCCACCCATTGTCTAGGAGAAAAGTGGATGTCTTAGGTAGGACTGGTCAAAATGAAGAGAGCAAATCATTCTCTTTTCTGAGGTCCAAACCGGGGCTGATTTCAGAATTAAGACTGCTGTAAGGCTTATTCAAAAGGGTTCTTGTTTTCTTTTGAAAAAGGGTGGTGGGTGGTGTAAAAATGGTTTTTAGACTTTTAGTGTTTTGATGTTTTTTTGTGGGTTTTTTTTTGGTGAAAGCTTTCTTTTTGTTGCTGCTTTTGTGCAAGGGTAAAATAAATAAATTATTATGTAAGTAAGATTGCAAGTTCATGTCAACGCCCATTACTTTGTTACCACAGATTAGGTAAACTAAACAGTGACCAGTCACCTCACACATGAATATATGCATGAGTTGTGGGTTGGGCTATAAATAAGTTATGACGGATCACGCTTCTTCCACCAGCTGTTGAAAATGTATTGTTAAGCCTACCCGTTGGTCAACTTGGGTAGACATTCACTGGAGGGACTAACAATAACGACAGGTATATTATGAAGGCCCGTCCACAACGTGAGTGGCGGATTCAAAATTTATGACAAAGTATCGGGCAATGCGAGACCATGCCTGGCCGTCTGAGGCAGATAAATTGGACTGTGGGTTGAAAAAATAAGGTGCCCCCCCGAAACCCTTTTTCCTTTTTATCCTTTTCTTTCTTTTTTTTATGTGTTAATTTGTGTAAATCTTTAAACAATCTCAGCAATTCTTGTTCCATAAATTTAGCCTGCCAATACCATTCTGTACCTCCTCTTTTCCTCCCTAAACAAAGTTGCGCATGTACACACTCACACACACACATACACACACACACACGTGCACAAACGGAAACGCACACACTCACAAACACACACATACACACACACCCCAAGCAGTCGACGATGAAACCAATCTCACAATCCTCTAGTGACATAGCCCATCATGCGCTAAGAGGCAAAGCGAGCTGCCACGGCGCGGACAAAAGCCCAAAGAACAAGTGCAATATCTTGGTAGTAGAGAATCTTTGACTTTACGGCACAGAATTCCTTCATAGCAAAATATGATACCTTGCAAACAATTGCGTGCGTTATGCAAAAAAATGTATTGGTGCATGCTATTGTGTGTGAAAAGTAAAAAATGTGTTGGTGCTTGCAATTGTAATTTAGACATGAGGAGCTCAGTGATAAGACTCACCTCTCGGCACTGACGCAGAAGAGGAGTTAAGTCCAGGTTCTGTGTGTGCACTTTTTAAAAGTCTTTTTTTGTCTGCTGAAAACAAATTTGATTCCATTTAGTTCATTTACGTGGCAAATCATAGCCTGCAAACTACATTTAGGGCCATGTGAATGTAGCCTGCAAACTACTTTCAGGGCGTCGTGAAAGTAGCCTGCTAACTAGATCTAGATTCTAGCTAAGTAGTCACTGCGTTTTTCAAAAAACACTAAAACCAACTTGCCGATATGTTTTATGCCTCTTCTCCCTGGGGGAGAATAAACAAATGCATCCCATATATATATATAATAATACCTGTTCCCAGGGGGTCCGAATAATGACCAGATTATTGGCACTCCGGGGATCTGAATAGTCACAGCCTACTCAAGGGGGGCTCTCGTGGCCTAGAGGTTAAGGTGTTGGCCTATCATTCAAAGATCCCGGGGTCGAATCCGGGTAGCGACCGAAAAATTTTCTTCACTCCAATTGTCTCCTTTCACCTCCTTTCCTGCTCTCTAGCAATGTTCTGTTGTCTGCTTTCATTTCCACTTTCTGCCCCCACCCCCTCATCTCCTTTGCCCCCTCCTCTGGGCTCCTGACTCTTTCTGCAGCCTTTCTACTACTACTCCTTGGCTCCTCCTTACTGCTGTCTTTCTGCCACACCCCTGATCTTCTGGTAGGAAAGATCTACTCCTAGCCTTCTCGGACAAGGGTGAAAAATCTCGGAGGGCCCGTGTGCAAGTTGCGCACGTTAAAGATCCCTTGGTGGTCTAAAATCAAAGAGTAGGCTTCGGCCGCCACCGGGGCAAAATTCAAAATTTCCTACCAACTGAAAATATTAGGTGTGTACCGAGCGCTCATATGACCTTATGCAGTTGCGAGCGCCGTAAAACACTTTACAAAAACTTAAAAAAGCATGAGAGAGGTTTGAGATACTTTTGGGACGTACATGAAACAATTAGGTACAAAATGATCAAGCTAGTTGTAGCCATAAGTCGTGTCATTTCAATTTAGAGCAGTTGTGAGTTATCCCAGTGCTCGTTTGGACAGAAAATAGAACTGTAGAACTGCCAAGCCAATAGAGCAAAATGGCTTCCATTGCTCTTTCTTCAAATACAATTTTTATCATAATTCTTTATCACTGACCTTAGCAGGAACTTTAGAAATGTCAAGAGAGCATAAAATGGACATTGCACTTGTATTGGATCAGATGAACTTGCTGGTGACAGGTAACTGATTTTAGTTCAAATTATTGTTGAGAAAGTCGCCTAGAAACCTTGCACTTTAGGCCAACATTTTTTTCAGAAATGGCATGTTTCTTTTCCTTCTCAGATTGTGCTGGTCATTACTAACAGTCATTGTAAGTTGTGAGGACTGGACTGTCAAATGAAGTGAAAAGATGATTCCTCGCACTTGATGTCCTGACGTGGCAAATACACTTATCTGGGTTCGTAAACCGATCACTCAACGATCGCATCCATGGGCAAGATGGACAATAATGGCAAGCAAAAGGAGACTTCAATGGTTTTGGACTTGTCTGATTTTGTCACTGAAGTCGACAGATTTTCTCGGCTAATTGAACCATTTGCTCTGATACTTTACACTGTTGATGATATAAGAAGGTTAGTGATAACTTAGTAAATGTATTTTTAAAAAATTATCATTATTTTAGATTATCCCGCGTGCTCTTTTAACTTTTTTGGGAAAACTTATTGAACATATTGTTTTCATCATTGAGTGTTTCTTCTTCTTCCTATTGTTGCTGGCTGGCAGATTTGTTGGTTTTGAAGCGTCTCTCTTTTGTATACATTTGTACATTTCAAACCTTTTTCTTTTGGTATGGATTAATTTACAATTTTCAGTGAGTTTTTGGCTCAGTATGATGCTCAATGCCACCCACCCCTTGATTTCAAGTATGTGAAAATCCAGAGAAAAATTCAGAGTTGTCTGCTGACCTTATCTGCTCATTGTATGCTGCTACCATGAACCTGGTCCTTTGCCATGATTTGCAAACCCCTTACTTTAAGTCTAAAAAGATATATGTTTTCTGTTGATGAGAACGGAATATAAAGTATAAAGCTTATGATCCTGATTACAGGAAATAGGACCTGAGTTTTGTGCAAGTATATAAAATTTTCATTTATGTTTTTAGTGTATTGGATTCACAGGCTTTTACATTTTAAAGTAGAGGTTTAGTTAAGGTCCCAAGAAAAAAAGAAGAAAGAGAAGAGAAAAGTGCTATTTTGATATGTTGTAGGTAACTTTAGTTTACAAAGGCATGATTGACGAATTGAATGGCTTAAGGGCATTGCATTAAATGTTGCACAATACATTAAAAAAAAACAACCCCAGTTATAGTTGAACAGGATGCTCAGGCACCTTTTAAAGTGGTCCACATTGTGTTTAGCAGAGGAGTAACATTTTCAAAAGTTGGAAGTGATGTTTGACCAGAATGTTTTTAGAAGTCATCTCTTGCAGAGAAATAGAGTACTTGTACTATCAATAGCTATTGTCAATTTGTAAAGAAGAAAAATGATGAAATGGTCGCCGCTTGCTAGATAGCTCTTTTATAGTTTCTGACCTGTGGAGTGGTTGTTGGTGTCATTCCACAAATGCTTTTAAAGTCATTTTTTTAAAAGTTTGAGACAATATAAAAGAAAAAAATAGCACCAACATCAGTATCTATACTTTTGCAGAGATGTGATTTTTCAGCGAAATGCCAGGATGGAAATAGTGAAAACAAAACCACATTGTAAGATGTGCTTTGATGTCTTACTTGAATAATGACTTTATCTAGTAACCTCCAGAAACTGATGTGGGCGATTGTGGAATGAGACTGACAAGTGACAAGGTATTCATTGCAGGGATCCGGTAGTGGCTTGGTGGTTATTCTATAAATGTTTGTTTTTCTCTCTAACTGCTTTCCTTTGCCTGTGTTTTTCAGATGGCGTTTTCGAAATGGAACTATTCTTGTTTGGTTTCTCTGTAACCTTGCCTGCATATGGCTTACGCAAGGTAATGAAATTGAAATGTTTTTTTAAAGCACTGCCTGGTCTAATTGCTGCCTCTTGAGGGTTTCATCTGCTGTTTTGAATTTGAGTGAGGCTTGTGCTCATAAGGATTAAGAAGAAAATATTTCTGTGATTTTAAGGAAAGAATATATTTTTATATCTCATATTACATGAAGTTATTTTACTATTTCATTTCTGGAGAAATAATTAGTTATATCCCACGCGTGAAATGTAAGAACTTTGTGATCTCACGAGTCACATATCAGCTGTTTTGGCAGCATCTGTAATTAGTGTGGCCAAAAATAAAAAGAATCTTGAGTTTTTTCCATTGCTCACTCTGATTCCGATTGGACTTGAAATTTCTGTTTCACATGAGATGCTTGAGTGAGGCCAGTTGACTACTTTACTGGTCATTCGATCTTTGTCTCTCCAGGCATATATTGTCAGCTGATATCAGTATGGTAGAAAAAAATTTATTGCGTGTGTTGTGGTGGTAGACCATGATTTACTCAACTTTTGAAATCGCTAGTTGTAATCACAGGTTGAAACTTGTACCGGCAATAACAACTTGGCTATTTGACTCATAAGATCTATTTGACTCATAAGATAAATTTTGGTTTTCTCATTAACTCTTGCAATTAATTCTTTTATATCAACTCCCTTACCACCTCTGACATAATACCCAATATCTAGGAATTTTCTAAGATTGCCTCTGCTTCTGTTGATTGACTGTTGGTAGTTACAGGTCTGCTCCTTTTCCTCCTTTGTCAGCATTTCAATTATCCTTATTTGCTTCCTGGTGTAGGGAGGCCTTTTATTGTGCAAACTGTCTGTCGTCTGTAATTCAGATTTTATGGGGTTTTTTATTTTTCAGGGGCAGTCTTCATTCTCGCATCAAGTGCCATCATTGGTGTAGCTACGCTGTCTTTGTTTCAAATTCACACTCAAATTTTGAGCAAAGTGTTGCCCAGTAACAAAAAGTCGCCCTCAGTGGTGGATGGAGAGCAGCAAGATGGTGCTTTGGACACTGTACAGAATTTCCGATACAGGTAGGTCGTGTTGATATTGCCCTAACTACTAGTGTTTTGCATTTCATTCTACTGCCTGTTAGGATTGTGTAATAACTCATTTACTACATGATTTTCTGTCCTCTGGGAAGTAACTTCTCCTCTGGCAGGCACCTGTTTAATACATGTTTAGTTTTGTCCATTGATATATCTATTTGTTTAGCAAAGTTTAACGCATTATATTGCAAAATACAGGAAATTAAAAGGAGAGTTTGAAAAATGTGAATATTTGCTAATGAGGGCTTAAATAGTTTTAGCCTGTATACAGACAGTCAGGCCAATCACACAGCTTGTTGTAGTGAAGAGGAAAATACTGAGTTGATCAGTCGGCTCAATGAATGAGTTAATAAAGTTAGACACTTGATCCATTCCAGCACTATGAGCTTTGGGTCGTTATCCTTAACAGTCTCATTAAAGGACAGTGTAGAGATTATATCATAATCCTTTGCAGCATTGTTGACTTTTTTTGTGGGTTGTGTAGACATGTGCCAAGGAAAGTTGTATAACTATGGACAGGAAATATAACATACAAATTTGTCTCTTGCGTGCCTATATTGAACCAAATGCCCACAGTTAGATAAAACATGTGTTGAAGAGATCGGAAAGTGATCTGTACTCATTAACTGTTTGCTGTCTACTCTTCTTTGTTCTAAACATGTTTTTCAAGTTTCTGTAGTTCTATCAATCTTAGTGGATATCATCAGCTGAAGTGAAAGAGACCATGGTTCAACTATGCAGCCTAGCATTCATGGTCTTGGGTTGTTTGAAGAGTCTGGCTTCTTGATATTACAAGGCCAAGCACATGGCTGGGTGCATGCTGTATTTCCCTACAGCGCTGCTAAAGCATGCCTAAGTGTTTGATTGGGGAAAGTCTAAACAGTTGACCTATGGGAGTTGAGGTACACAAAACCTGTTTTGACAGAGAAACTGAAAAGTTGAAAGCAAACAAATTATATTTACAGTTGTTAAATAAGTTGATATATATTATATGATATATTCGTATCCGTCCCCGGTGGTTGAAGGAAATTTATGAGTATTGCTAGGATGAGTGAGTTCTAATGTTTATCTTTGTGCTCTTTCCGCAGCCTCATTGAAATGCATGACTTTGTCGTTAAGAGCAACGAATACCTCAGTTATTTTTACTCCATTCTCAAGTGGGATGCTGTTGGACCATCAGCAATGTAAGTAATACTGAAGTGTGATTTTTGTCATGGGCATGAATAAAGCAATAAATTTTATTTCTGTTAAGAACAAGGCATACAAAAATAACTGGGTTTGTTGACGGATGTGTCAAATTACAAACTTTGTCTGTAGATCTGAACAGAAGGTGTACAAAACCTCTTGAAATATGAAGCTGAGAGCCAAGAGCTAGTATTGTGCCTGGGAATTGTTAAAGCTCCTACCCTCTCCCCATTTCCAGGAGCGCAAAGAGTCAAAAGCAGTGCTGTAGTGGAGACAGAAAAAGTTTATTAAGTAGTGTTCCGTCTTTCATATGCTTGGAAATGTGTTAAGACTTCTGTTAAGGTGGCGTTGGTGGCCAAGTGGTTAGGCTACTGATTCTGTAAACATGAGATTGCGGATTTAGAGGTTCGAACGTCGGCTTGATCCGACGTTGTGTCATTGGGAAAGGCACTTTACATGAATTTCCCATTTTTCCTTTCGGAGATGAACGTTAAACTTGGAGATCCCGCCTCTTAAATGACTTGACAGTGTTGATAGGGACGTTAAACCTATACCATTCTCTGCATTTTAAAAAACTTATGTTGATGAGCATACAGCTGTTTTTATATCTGAGGACATAGGCTATTGTGTCAAAGCTGTATTGTTTGCAATTGTTTAGAATTATATGTTATAGTTATCCTTTTGGAACAGATGTTGGCTTAATAAGAATTTCTTTGGAAACATTTACCTTTCGACTTATCTTTTCAGCTATCATGTTCAAGTATGCATTTTTTTGCTGAGTATGGTCATGTGTCCAGCAAGATGGAATTGCTTTTTGGTCATCAATTGGTTTTTCCTCTGTCATCCACACATATTAAAAAGTAAGTATGACAAATTTACTTTATCTGTATTTTGATATCACATGTCCTGTGTATAGTATCAATGCTTTTTCCAGTCTTATAAAAAAAGTAATTTTGGAGGCTAGATTTTTGTTGCCACTTGGTTTCCAAGGTATGATATTTTATCATCTGGCTATTGAATGTCATGGACTCACATAGTTGTGGAAATATATGGGTAACAGTTTAACAGCAGCAGGTTAAGTTTTGCGAAACTACCCACATATATAAATAAATATGTCACATGCTGGAGGGGTGTCAATATTTATGCTATAGACAGAGCCAATCTGTTCTCGTACATTTACCATCGCGTATAGCTTGCAACATTTTATCTATTTATGAGGACTTTATAGTCACCCTGTGAGATACATGAGATAAAGATTTAGATCCGAAAGACTCGATGGCTGCTCCTTGTTGCACTGTAAAACTAAGACTGCTGATGAAAAACAGTTTGGTTAAAAACTTTGATTTGCAGACCTGCCCCTCATCCCGATTTAGTCTGGATATCCCGATTTTTTCCCCCAAATCTCAAGCATCCCGATTTTCCCGATTTCGATCGCGTTTATCCCTATTTTTTTGTCCCAGTCTGCTGTTGTGCGGGATTTTTATAAAAACGTACTGTTTTCTCCTTTATCGTGGGAAGCACCTGTTGAACTTTTTGTCAGTTTGAACTCGGGGCACTATTGCCCGAAATATTGATGCTGCATTTAGTAGTTGACTCGCCCCAAGTTGTGTGTGATCTTTGCCCGCACTCAGAATTCTCCGATGATAGCTTGGTAACTGTTACAATTTGGCACATATAAATAATCGATAATCAAAACAAGCCTTGACTGAGGTCTGGTAACTGCAATTTCACATCAAACACTCGGACGAGCGACAGTCTTTCTAACCCTTACACAACTACATGTAACGGCGCTGACAAGACTAACATACGGCTGATGTCATTGCTTTAGTCTGAACGCATATGAGGGATAAGAGATTTGTTGGTACAATTGGTCGGTCGGCCGCCGTAGTTATCCTAGAGTACTAGAAGTAGAACGACTGTCACTCATCCGAGTGTTTTGTGTGAACGCGCAATTAGTCGGACCTGTGCGTTAGTAAAATTGTTTCAATCGCGCATTTGCGTCACGTGGTATGACATCGCCGTGTGAGTTCTGCGTGTCGGGGACTGTCTGTTGACGGGGTCAACTTAAGTTCATGTATTTCGGGACTTATGGGGGGGGGGGGGGGGTATAGACACAGACTAGAAGGAGTGCTTGACGTGATGCTTCAGGATTTACAAAAAATAATGATAGCTCGCACGCACGCACGCACGCACGCACGCGCACACACACTCACACACACACACACACACACACGCGCGCGCGCGTGTGGCGTGCGCGCGTGCGCAAACAAACAAAGACACTTAGAGTGCATATAGGCCAAGTAATTTATGGACACCCCAGGACAAATTTTATGTCAGCTTTGGCAGTCACTTGGTGATTTTCCTGTTGATCCCGATTTTTTTCACCAAATCCCGATTTTTTCTCCCCTAGATCCTGATTTTGAGGTTTCATAGAGTGGCAGGTCTGGATTTGTTTTGTTTTGAAGTATGGTTATTAATGAAAAATCCACAAAACTAAAGTGATGATGCCTGCCATTAAAAAGTTGGCACGTCTTTAAAAAACAACCCAAAAAAATTTATACTTCAAATACTTGAAAGAAAATGAGTGTTTCAGAACCATGTGTTTTAACCTCCATAAAGGCTGTAAATTCTCTTTTTGTGTTTGATTTATTGTTTTACCAGAGGGCTACTCCTACATCAAAGAGAACATTCTGTCCTCTGCTCAAGCTTCTGTACAAAGTAATGGAAAAGCTGGGTCTGCCAAAAATGTAAGTTTATCTTGTTTGTGAAAGGAATTAGATTTATGCTGTAAGCTTTTGGGAGACTATTTAATTATAAGGTTACATGCAGGTACCCACCTCTTTAGTAACCTAATTGTTTTCAGAGGGGCAATAAATCCTAACAGTTTCTTACTTACATGCACGTACATGGGTGTTTTCTTTTCTGACTGTTCTTTTTTTGGAAAAAGTATTTTTGCAAGATGTAGTGTTTGAATGAAAATTTTGTCAGTATGATTTCAAAAAGATTTGTAAATTGTAAGCTTTGTATTCTTAGGTTTGGATCGATAGCTGTGTGCCAAGTAAGTATTGGATGTTGACAATTGATGCTCATTATTTACCTGTACCTGTACAAGTGTGATTTTTTTACTATTTTGTTCTTCAGAAAGAGACGTTAGCATCAGACAGTAATGAGAAGGACAAAGATGTCAGTGAGGAGAACATGGCCGATGGTGATGATGAGTACGATAGCTCTGACGTGAGTTAAAAACTTAACCTGTTATGTGTAAAAATGGAATATAATATGACAGAGCTGTTTTGAATGATAATTAAATGTTATCAATTTGCGGTCTAAAACTCCTTTGTAACATCTCTTATCTTTGACACTTATATGACATATTTGGTTTACAAGCGCGGTTGTTGTTGTTATCGATCCAGGTTGCAAGTGCGGTAAAACTGTTACTGAGACTAAACTAAAACTCTAACTCCTGTAAAGATTATCTATGGCATTAAACAAAGCTGATTTACTTCTACATGGCTGAGGTGTACAAAATAGGTCTTTAATCTTTAAGGGGAGTAAACCCTCTATGCCGGGGCCCTCTTTTGGTAGTCTAAAATTTACGTACATGTCACTAATTGGTCATTAAATCATAACATATGAACCTATTTTCATAGTTCTTCATCTAATTAATGAAATCTTAGTAAAAAGATACCTTTTTTTGACAATTGCGTAAAAGTAATTCAACATTGAAGTTGTTGTAAAAGAATGTTCCCTAGCTGCTGTCAGCGGCTCACCAGCACAGTGGTTCTGACTGCAAGCTGCTGGGAGCGGCTTGCTTGAGATAAGACAATAGGAAATTGGAAAAAATTGTTAAAGGAAAGGCTGAGAGGCATGAAATTATTTATAAATTAGAAAACTGTGCTTGAGTAGCCTACTTCTGAAATATGAAAACGTGAAATTAAAATATTTCGTAAATTACTCTTATTGAGAGGACAATAACTCTTTTTGAGTTTTTCAGTACTATGTTCTCAAGTCATATATAACAGATGCAGACTAATATTGATTTAAATGCGTTTCCATGTTTTTTTGAGGTTGTGTGTTTGAGAGGCTAAAGTATGTTTGTGTTATTCTTTGATGTGTGATAATTTATAGATTTTGTCAAGTAGACAGTGATAGAGTCAAAATGTATACCAGTAGTTTAAAGAAGCAGATTCCTGATGTTGCATCTGATTTTGGGTGAGCTTTTATAAACATAAAACTGTTGTTGGTACAAAATCTTGTTTAAGGTCTCAAGAATCTTATAACACTCAAAAAAGTTGTTTAAAAAATATTTTTTTAATATGTATTCACAGTGTGGCTTTATTTTGGTCTGTGACAGAAAGCTACTCATAGTTCTTCAGGAAAGCTGTTGCTTATTTTCCCACATTGCCATTGAAACCCCATCCTTATTTTTCAAAAGGTTTCTGCCATTCTGTTGTTTACTTGCACTGTTAACCATCGAAAGAACCTATCAGTCTTCTGTCCATTTCAGTCAGTAGCTTTGGCAAATTTTTCACTTGCAGTTGCTTTTTAGAAGCAGTTTAATGTTAAGATTTTTCTTTTTGTAAACTTTTGATTGGATGTTTCAATTTAAACTGGCAAGTCTGCTTCTTTAAGCTGCATTTCCTTGTTGTGGTTTAAAAAAAATATTTTCATCTTCTTTGGGTTAAAGTCAAGTGTAGGAAGAGGGTTATAGGACTATAAAGCAGCATTTTCTGATCATCAGCTAAACTACCCTTCATGTGATTTGCACCTATGCTAACAGCTGTCATGAAAACCATTGCTTCGTTATCATCAGGCTTTTTTTCTGCATGGATGAGAAGCTTGCTTCGCCTCAGCTTTGAACACAAAGATTTCAATTTTATTTTTTGCTCCCATTAGACTTCCAGTTTCATTCCAAGAAAATGATTTTAACAAAAGGAAATAAAAGTAAAAGTTAAATTCAATTTTGTTGTTTATTTATTGTTAGGGTGAGTGGGATTGTTTCCATTGAATAGATTGATCTGTTTAATTTTTTGTTTGACACTTTCTGCGAATTTAAAAGGGTAACATAGTAACATGTTAGTTGTACAAAATCGTATGTTATCTTTTGCACAGATGAAATGAAAGTAGGACATATGAATAGAGAAGGAAGAAGATTTTAAAAAGATTGAAAAAAACAAACTTTTTTATGATCCAAAAAGTTTCTGTAATTTAAGCAAATGCAGCTATTAAGATACATTTGTTTTGTGAACTATAAATGACATTGGAAGAACAGTTGTGCTAATCGTATGAATGATACTTTTTTACCCGTAGACTTGCGTAAGTTTATTTTCATTTTATGGTAATGTAACTATTAAGATTTTCTCCCCATCTCCAATCCCTCTATCTCCATTTCTTTCTCTCTCTCTCTCTCTATCCCTCCCTCCCTCTCTCTCTCTCTCTCTCTCTCTCTCTCTCTCTCTCTCTGTCTCTCGCACTTACACCTCTCTCTTCTCTCTCTTTCTCTTTTCCTCCTCCTCCTCCTGTCCTGTCATGCTTTTGCTTTCAAGCTTACGTCACTATTAATTAAGCTGAATGCTAACTTGTATTTCCTATCTCTCTTAGTTACATGATAGTTTTTCTTTTGTTGAAGCCTGATTTATTAGTCAAGTGTCCATCACAGCTCATCGTTGAGCATTAAAAATGTTTTTTTTGGGTCAGTTCTACAAACATGGCTCGCGTGGTTCTGACCAGACTACTTCTCTTTCTGAAATGAGAACAAAAAAATACTTATGAGATCTTTGTAAATATATGAAAGCTCCTGTCATAATTCTTGGTTGTCTTTCACAAGAGTTTTCTCAGCTCCTATTATTGGTTTTTTTTTTTTATTAGTCAGATCAATTTAGTCTGGAATGGAGTCATATAAAATTATTCAAAGTTATAGAAAATATGTGCCCTCAATGAGGGAGGTAGGGATGGGGATGGGACACTGAAATGTTTCGTGAGACGGCTTGTAATTTCTCATATCATAGGGGGTTAAAAATTTCTTTTGTCCTAGTTACGAGTCAGTCCGAATGACTCTAACTCAAATTCTTTATTCACCGCATAGATAGTAGTGTGTAGTGTGTATCTCCATATTCTGTGTGTGACTTTCCATTTTGCTGCTTATTTGTATTTATTTTAATTAATTATCAGGTAGTTAACAACCTGACTGATATATGTTGACATTTTCAGCTTGATATGACTGACGAGGTTGGAGACAAATCTATGATAAACTTGGAGCCATCACCCAGTAAACCTGGTATGGTTGCCAGATTGATGGAAATTAAAAAGAGAAGGAAGCAGATAGCCAGTGGTAGGTTTTTTTCTCTCCATTGGCTTCTCTCAAAGTTTTCTTTATGTTTGAACAACAAATGATAATATCTAAGCTGCAGTGGAAGGTCTTGCTAAATCTATTTTACTTCTCGCATGCCATTGATATGGTGTAAGGATATAGTGTACCTTCTTTGTTATTTCTACTTTATCATTTTTTAAAACATATTTTCAGAGAAAAATACCGTTAGTTGAAAGTTTAGAAGAGCTGGGGGAAAATGAAAACCTCAATGTTAGACAATGGACTGTTAGCATTACTATTATAAACTATATGTTTTATGTAACAAAGATGTGAAAGCAGGGGCTAGGGAAATTTCTGTAGCCATGATCAGAAATTTAACTTGATATTAGAAGCACTAAAATGAGCATAAAACTTCCAAGTACGTTTCAGTACGTGAGATTGGTTTGTTGAAAGGAAAAGGCTTCAAAGCACTTGATATAAATTCAATTGAATGTTGCACTCTGTGCAAGTAGAGTTGACAAGTTGTACCGAGCCTGTAGGTTATCATTATTTTTAGTTAATTTCTGTGCATTGTGTCTTTGATTATTTTTATTTAGCATTTGTTCTTGCATTTTGCCTTGAGTGTATCCACATTTAGCATAGTACAACACGTTAGTGTCCCTCGCTTGTGATTTTTTTTTGGGTCCTTTCTGTTTGTATGTCTTTTGCACGAAAAGTGAGCTGTAAGGATTAATGCTGTTCAATTTACTCAGATACAAGTATTAATTTGTTACATGCTTTCAGACTTCTATTTCTTTCCTTTTGTTTACAATTACAATGATACAGAGTACTTGCAGCTGAAAATAAACTATATTAATGCATTATTCTCACTCACTTCACAATTGGCCAAGTCGAATCTTTCGTCACTAACTCATGAAGAACAAAGATAATTTGGAGGAGTGTGTTAGTTCCTTCTTCTGTCTTTGCTGCTTTATTTTTGTAGTGTCAGTGAGCAGTCTGACTGACTCGAACTACCAGTTGTTGATGTTGCTTGTTAGTTGGCCTACACTCTCATCTCTTCCTCATAACACAAATGCACGAAGCATGGTGCAAGAAACTTTGACTGACTGCATTACTTGAGCGTTTTATTTTATTTGCATTAATTTTGTTTTCTTCTTATATAACTCTTATAGCACCTCAACAGTTATTTCCGAAATCATCACTGTGGTATGAAGAAAAAGTGTGACTTCATTGACAAAAAGGAATGTATGTACCTAAAGCATTTGACAGCAGAGTTGTTCATATTTTTTTATATTGCAAAACATCTTTTCTGGCTGAAAAATAGACAACCTGAAATAATTCCTCTAATTCTAATGAGTTCTTTATAATTCTCCATGATATGTCACAAATGTTGGATACATGTGCATTATGGAGGATTGTTCGTCATTGTGTTGCTCTGTGTCTTCTCTTACTGTGAAGTATAAAAAGAAAAGTTGAAGCTGCACAGGTCACATTGATCATTTCATTGCCCTAAATGTTTTCAGAGAGCTGCCTAGGTTGCAAAGTCTCCTTTGCTTCTATATTGAAAAAGCGAGTAAGTAAAGTCACCATTGTAATTGTCTCATCAGGCTGATGCCCATATATCGGGTATGGCAGATTTTGTGTTTTCTTTCCAGTCATTGTTTTAAGTTACATAAAAGTTGAAGCACAGATTACATCAGATCTGAAAAAAATACAAGTTAGACAAAAGATTTGCTCACTTCACATATTACATAAAAAGCTGTTTCTTATGGAGCTAACAATTGGTGGTCTTGCTGAGACGGAATCCTCGACCAATCTTTATTTTGGACTTGGAAGTAGAATGTTATCAGCACAATGAGAGAGAAAGTAAAATATGCGTACCTGAGCTGATTGCTATGGGTTTCAGTGTTTGGAAAATTTTCTGTCAGTTCCATGAATGCTGTAATTGTTTTTGTTTTAGTGTAATGTTCTATTCATATTATTATTTCGTGAAAATATGGTCTCATTTCATTATATATATGATTTGCATATATAATATATGGTTGTATTTGTTTCAAAGAGAAAACAGTAGCTGATAGAAAAATGGGAGATTGCAATGTACTGGGGACTATCGATGTCTTAAGTATTTAAACATAAGCACAAAATCTGCCATATTCCCATCCATTTATTTCACAGTACGTAGAATGATTAGTAGGTAAAATATAATCTTATTTATATTTTTCTCTTTTGTATGTTTTTCCTCAACATTTAATTTTCTTGCAAAACTAATTTTGTGGTAAATGAGCATTAAAAAAATGTCATGTGTAAAAATAATATATCCTTGCTGTAAACAATACTTTAAAGAATGCTGATCTTAGAAAGTAACAAGAAATAGTTTTTCTGCTTTTAAGATTACATCTCATTTGAAGAGTCTGGCAATTAGATAAGATAAACTTAAATGTATAGACTTTGAGACTAGTCATTCATGACACCATGGAATATTCCTTACCAGATATTGCAGGTTCTTCCTTTGAGCTTTCCGCTGAACAATTTGAAACCTTGCATGCCTGTATGTCTACTCCTTTTTCATGTCAGCGTTATCTCGTTCTATTTTTTTAGTCGTATTGTCGGCACTGTGGCTACAGTTTTTGTAACCGATGTTGTTACCAAAAAGTTCCCCGCTCAGTATTTGGAGCTACCTGTAAGTGCTTTTTTTTCTGCCCCGTTGTGATGTAATTAATTTTTTTCTTTATTGAGGGGGTTTGTTTTGCTGATTTCTCTCTCTCTCTCTCTCTCTCTCTCTCTCTCTCTCTCTCTCTCCCTCTCCCTCTCCCTCTCCCTTTCCCTCTCCCTCTCCCTCCCTCATTGCTCTTCATCATGTTCATTGTAGATGGTATGAGGTATTTCCCATGCTAAATTGTGTCACTATTTTTGGATCGGGTGCCTACTGTAGTTTGCACTTAATCATTGTGTTCAGGAAGTTATCGCAGGGCTCATTGTTCAGATAAATGGATAAATGTGAGTGGTTTGAGGGAGCCTTTGTTGAATCATACTTGTTTTCTTTCCATCTGTTGTTTCTGCTTGTCTATCTTGCTTTTTTCCTACACTAAATGGCCTTTATAGTGTGGATGTGCTTCTCTGTTCTCAAAGTAAGGTCAGATAAATAGGAATTCATTGTACGTAGGTGCATTGCATGGCTTTTATCTGTGCACGCATTTCATTTGCACTAACCTGAAGTATCATATCTCACATCCTGCTTGTTTTTATTTGCAAGATTGTTAATGCAATTATTTCCTTTGTATTCCACATTGACTTAGTTTGTAATTTTCATGTTGTCCTCAGCATTGCATCCCTTTTATATGCTTACATTTTGTTTATCACAGTTACTTTTCAATGTGATAAAATGTATTTCTACTGTACTGGTTCATGATTTAAGTGTATATATGCCCATCATTGTATGCGGGTTTTGTTTTTTGTGCTATTGTCGTTGTGCCGTTTTTTTAAGGTTTGATTTTTAATGCTTTCAATTTTCAGAGATCCCCAGCTATCTCTGTTTAGATGCTGTTGCTGTTGCTGTTTTAACCTCTTTATCTTCTGGCTTTTGTTTCAGTTTTTCATTTATTTTTAATCAAACTTGTAGCCTAACAGTTACTTGTAATAAAAAAGCTGCTACTTTTTCTTCACATTTCACACAAAAATTTCTTCATCAACCCTAACAATAGAAGTGAGGTCCACACTTTGCAGACTGAATTTATTAATTGCTTGGAAATGTCGGAGAATCCAGTTGCAACAAATGCTTTGTAGTTTATCTTCATGCTTATTGACAACCATAGCTTGCTGGAAGATCAAAGATTTTTCCCAGCTAGAAAATCACACATGCTTTTTCTCACAAAAGTCTGCTAATCTAGAGGGTTTTAAATTGGGATGGATTGAGTTAGGGGTACTATGGGTGCCAACCAGTATGTATGGACATTGGACAGATTTTGTGTAGCTTGAGAAAGTTCAGAGTTCAAATATAATGTCTGTCATAACATATCCGTGCTATATCAGTTTTATTTATAACATTTCGTTATCTGAAGACAGTCCCAACTGTTGGGACTGGGAAGTTTAAGAGTTCATACACACGTTTTTGTACCTACATCTAAATAAGTTTGTGTTTTTAAAAGAGTGAGACTGTGCATTTGTGTCTTCATTCTATTTTTTGTGAATGGGTACAAGTCTCTGCCTCTGGTGTGATTTGCTCCTTCTTTTCTATCAAACATCTATCGATCTTTCCTTCTTTTTCCTGTTTGTTACTTTCTTGTAACACCTTACCCCCCGGGGCGGTGCTACCGACTGATGTGTCTTTAGGCCATTCCCAAAGGGGGGACATGAACCTGTTCTTATGTACAGTAGAATTGTAAGTGGGCTGATTCATCTATCTCCCCCTGGGGCGGGGCTACTGACTGAAGTGTTTTTAGGCCATTCCCAAAAGGGGGGGAGGGGGGGCATTAACATCTCGTTCTTATGCACAGTACAATTGTAATTGTAAATGGGCTGATTCATCAATGTCATGCTCATAACTGTGCCTGAACTGCAACAGGGAACTGCTGCTTTTTCTTTCCTTATCCCTACTATCGTCATTTTCCTCTACTTCTTTTGTATGTTTGTCACACTCTTGTGACCCGCTACTTCTGGGGTGCCTTGATAGTTGAAGCAGACTTTGTGCTGTTGAAGCTAGAGAGGTGAGTTCGGCACTTATATGACCTTATTGTTTTGCAAGTGGCGTAAAACTCTTGCTAAAACTAAGAGGTGAGCAGAGTAAGTCTGATTCCCTGTAGGGACTTCTGTTTTGACATCCACCCCTTGGCGCTCATATGACCTTATGCAGTTGTGAGTGGCGTAAAACCTCTACTAAAACAAAATTTTGTAACACTTCTGATCTTCTGCACTTACATGACCGTATTGTGTTGCAAGTTGAAGCTAAAAAACAAGTCTCTGCCTGTGTATGTGTTAGAATGATGAAGAGATCATTTTAGATAATGAGTTGTCCATCCGAAGATTTGTTTTTATTCCGAGATCAGAGATGCTAGTGATGAAGGAGGAGATATAATTTTTTTAAAGACTCAAGAGAAAAGCGAGTGATTTATTGAAGCTGTAACATTTTTTGTTTAGACTATATGGGATATTTTTGCTTTGTGCTTGGTTCTATACAAACAATGTCCTCTGCTTAGTAAAATGAATTGAGCTTAGTTTGACAGCCGCTTCCATCTGGGGTTTTTTCATATATAGGGATATTTTATTGTTTTGGTTTTCATTTTTATTGAAGACTAGTAGGTTATTCAACTGCATAATCAACAAACAAGTACCTGGTTATGTGAATACATCAATTTGTTACTATTAGTAACAACAGTCTCATCTTCCTCTGTTCTACTGAGTCTCAAGGTGGGCAACCCCTTTCCCCGTCATTTTTGCGTCACCAATAAATTCCAAAATGTGGGCAAAGTCTATGATACTGTCTCTGCCTGTGTATGTTTCAAGAAAATGATGAAAAGACGATTTGTTTTAGATAATTAGTATTTTAAATCTGAAGATTCGGTTTATCAGAAACGCTCGTAATTAATGGAGTTTTTTAAGACTAGAGATAAAAAGTAAGTGATATATTACAGTTATAACACTTTCTATTCAGGGCTGAGGTCATATGGGATTGATTTTGGTCAGGCAGAGCTTAGAACGATCTGTCATAGATTTGAGCAGTGGTATTGTGATTTGATTAATCTTGTTCTATCCCCCCTCCCCATCAGCCCCAGCAGCCATGAAGGAGACGGTGCTAGTGTGTTGCTCCTGCCATGCCCTACTGGTCAGCCGGGGAGATGTGACTGCTGAGGCCCCTGCAAACCAAGGGCCTGGATGACCGAAGCGCCACTGACGTGTCAATCTGAACTCCGTGTCTGGCACTGAGTGGAGAAGTTAAAGCCATTGTCCAGCTTAGGAGTCTGTATGCTGATTATGAGTATGAGGCAGGGTTTTCACTGCACTGCAAATGTTCACCTGATCGTGTGCTTTTGGTTGACTCATTAATTTGTGTAGCTGCAGACCACAATCATGAATGTTTTAAATTTTAGTTTCTAGATGTTGGAAAAAAATCATGACATGTACATCTCCTCTTGATTATGTGTTCATATTTATTTATTGCATGAATTTTTATTCTAAACTTATATCCGGGGTAGATACCGTCCTTGTCCTTTGTTTTGAATTAGTTTTAATTTCTCTCCTCCTGTATGTATTAGCAATTTGGGTGGCCATGTTTGTGCCTGTATCAGATAAATGTAGTTTCCACGTGCTAATGAAACCACAAGCCCCATTTTTCTGAAGGCTGGATGTTTGCAGGTGAATGGAAAAGTATACTGGTGACTAAGCAGCAATGAGAAAGAAAGCCTTATACTGTACTTTCTGTGAGGTGGTAAAGGGCACCAGCTCTCATCGCCAGAGAAGTCTTCATTACACATTTTTTATCTTGCACCGAGCTGAGTTGCCTGTTTACAGAGGGAGCTGGTTAGGTTGTCTTTTATTTAACACATGTATGTAGTAACATTGTTAGGAGAATAGATCCCTGTTTCCTCTTGTAAAGAAAGAAAATCAAAGTAATAATATGAATGAGACTGAATGAAAATCAAAAAGATGGGTATGCTAAAGACAGTCTGTTTTTTTGCCTTAGTATCCCTAGACGGGTGTGAGCTTTGCGTACTTAATGACATGTGGACACCTGAGTCAGGAACTAAATATTTTTTCTCGTAATGTTAAGATCATTTTATTTAATAATAAACTGAAATTATGCTTTGCAATATAAAAAAAAAAAAATGAAATTGAGTACCTGTTCCAAGAAAATCTAAACTAAGTAAAAGATATGAACATGATATTAATTTGTGAAAAACATTATTTTTTTTACTGTTTGGATTGTTCGATATCCTGTTACCTGTGATCACTGGGTTGATAAGTCTAGTCGAAGAAAAGCATTTCTGGTGTACAGGAAGTGGGAGACGGGGTTAGTCTGATATTTGTTTCTTGTCTTTTTTCTCACTATTCCCTGCACCCTCAAGTAAGAGCCTCTGTTAAAATGAGTTGCTCCTTTCTTTGTTTATTTACCAAAAAATTATTTAACATTTTGAGAAAAAAAGAAACGCTTAGTGTTTGTCGAGCTGCATTTGTGAATGTGGACAGTCTTAGATTGTTGCAACAATATGAAAAATGTTGTATTTAGTTGAGGTATCGGTACACTGCTCAAATGTTACTGCTGGGAAAGAACTCTTGTATGAAGTGTAAGAAAGAAAACGTGTATTATTACTAATTAATTATGATCTACATCTTTTATGTAATCTATATATAGTAATTTGCAGAGGTTTTTTTTGCCGGATTGCCAAAGATGTTAAAAAATTGGCCAGAAATTGGTCACAACATTTATTGTGCACACATCAAGTTCACAGCTGTGGTGCGCCGGCTATAGTTTCGAATGTTTGATATGCCAGATAAGATTACATAGCTTCTAGTTATGCTACCTGTTTTGGTTACACTGCTTGTTTGGTTAAAAAAGAATTGTGTTCTAAGTATGTGTCAAGTATTGGAACTGGATGATTTAATTCATAATAGTTGGTTTCTGTAAGGAACTGATTGAAGGGGTCCTAGGTTAATAAATCTACTTACAGATAGACTTGTTTTTAATAATATATTCCTTTCATCCAGTTTGCCCTTGTCCTTTAGCAGTTTTGTATTTTGACCTCTCTTTTCTGACTAATCTTTGCACACTAAATTGATACAACTACTCTCTCTCTCTCCAAGTCCATTGCAACAGAAAAAAGAAAGTAGCCCAGTTGTTCATTTAAGTTTGATTTTTACAATTTTTTAGATGTGTTAGGTCATTTAGTCTTAATAATATACAGAATCTAACAAATACTACTTTGTTAAAGTGTTTATTCTACACAGGCATGTACCTGTTTGAGTGTGACCAACATTTACAGTTAGTTATAGAACAAATGAGTCCTCCTTTTCATTGATTGTTAGTTTTAATTCTAAATATTGTGAGTATTTCTATACTTCGTTACATATATTATATATATATGTGTGTGTGTGTGTACACACAAAATATCCATATTTGGTTGTGTATCTTTAAAAAAATGTCAAAATTTTTTTAATCAAAGCAGGTATGTGGTCTGGGATTAAAAACTATTTTACCAGGACTATTAACATTTTGATAAGTGTCCCTGTTTGGACATCACCACAGAAAGCTTCATTTGTGTAAAGACCACCAAAACATGGTGCATTTTTCAGTCTCTGAGGTTGGTAAATACTTCTGATATCCATGCAGTATCTTATTAATAGCTATATATGTACACAAGCACTCTATCCATGAGACAATACTTTTAAAAGACGTGATCGTCTTTATTCTAACCTTTACGATTTCATGACAATCTCAACCTACTTTTTACAAAGACATAGAGCATAGACTCATAGAGTGTGTGATTCGATTCTCTTGTAAAGATTTTACCCATATTTTTAATACCTTAGTTTTGTGTGCTCTACTTACATTTTGTTGTCTGGCTGGTTTTATTTGACCTTATTATCATTTGGTGCTTCGGTAGTTTGTCATTTTTTTTTAATGACTTAAGCAACTTAATCATCTAACCGCTAGTCAGTTCACCTTCTAGTCTGACTAATCTATTTCATCTGTTATTGTGAGTGTTATTGAGTAAAAAAAACATGCAGTGCATTCTTGCCACTTTTTATTTTTACAGCTCACTGGATTGCTAATTTATTTTTTTCTTTTGGAAACAAGATCGTCTCTGTGCTGTATTTACCTTGGACCAAATTGGCTTGTTTTTTTCTTTTTTTGTTTGTTTGGTTGTTTTTTTTACATTTGGGGGGAAACATCTCTCAAAAGACATTTTTGTTCTCATTCTTGGTATAATTCATCTCAATACTCTGTAACATACTTTTTAAAAACTATGATTTTGTTGGGGGGGTTTTAAATCATGGCATTATTAAAAAATATAAATAACAAGGAAAACCACTCCTCTTACTGCGTGGGAAGCATATTCTGTTCACCGACACTATAACTACAAGATTCTTTTCAGATGCATTATATACGATTATACAATTTGTATGTGGGCTGCAAGGATATTGTCTGTGGAATCTGTGTATAAATACCTGGTGAGATACAGGTGTATAGATTTGAACTAATAACAGTAAACTACTTGGATTGTGATAAAGGTTGTACAGTAATCATTTTCTCTGCTTAATGCAGGGCATTTCAGTATAATATATATTGAATATTTGAATGTTCTGAAAACTTTCTCTGACAGGCAAAAATGAAGAAGTATGAATCATTTTTATAATTCAGAAAAAGGTGTGCTTGCTTGTGACAATGGTGAATGAGGTGCTGCTGCAAGCAGCTTGTGAAGAAAGTTATGTGGTTGTTACTGGTGCAGTTTGTGGTCCACATTTGTAATGTAGATTTTTATCAATTGTGAGTTTAGTTAATATCTTTTTCTGTTGTTTTTTTAAAATGGCAAGTTAAGAATCATGTCTTTTAATCTGTATGAATGCACATCCTTTTTTATTTTTGTCTTTGTTTTTATGAGTTTTTAATTCTTTTACTAACTTTCTTCATCTTTCTATCTCTCTTTTTCTGCCCCCTTCTCCCTTTTTATCTGTCTGTCTGTCTGTCTGCCTGTCTGTCTGTCCGTCTGTCTGTCTGTCTATCTCTCTCTTTCTCTCTCTCTCTTTCTCTCTCTCTCTCTCTCTCTCTCTCTCTCTCTCTCTCTCTCTCTCTCTCTCTCTCTCTCTCTCCCCCCCCCCCTCCGTTAGAGTCTGCCTGTCTGTCTCTCGCTTTGTCTTTCTTTCTTTCTTTCTGTCTCCCTGTCCCTCTCAGATGTGGACATATCATATTTTTGTTTGCTTTCCTGGATGCTATATGATAGCCGTGTTTGTAGCTTTAGTTTTAGCTACCATTTTGATCCTTCTGTCTCTCTCTCACATGTGCGCTAGAAATTCACTTCTTTTGTTTGTCTCTCCATCCTGTTTTTGCCGGCAATAAATCACTGGTCTTCGTAGTAAATACTGACCTACAACTTTACACAAACAAACCTCTCTTCTGTGCTACTCTCAGACTCGTTTTTTTTCTCGGCCTCTTTCATTTCCTCTTCTCACTTTACTATGTTTTTACTGCCCCCCCTCCCCCTCCCCCTTTCTTCTCCATATAATTTTTTCTTCTTCTTTGTACTGACACAAAAGGAAGAATCAGTGATGAAAGCTGCTAATTCTTACTCACCTTTTTCTGCTACTGTTGCGACAGAAAGATATCTTAGAGCTGGCATCTACTACATACTTTGTGCTTTCATGTATTTATTTTGACATCTTTTTGTTTTCTTAAATCAGAGTTTTATTAACCAGAATGTGTACAGATAAACTTAAAGTCAGTTAAAGTGAAAATTTTTCAGATTTAAGTTTATTTTTTATTCTGCTATGTGGTACTTATTGCTTCAAGCTATGCTGTTTATATCAGTCATTTTGAATGAAACAGCTATTAATGTAATGGCTTGTTCGTTTTGTTTCTTCTGTGTGTTGAGGAGGGTTTTATTAGGGCACTTACGCGTATCATCATTTACGCTGACAAAGTACTTCTAACTTTACATCTATTTACACTCTTGAGACAAGGCCACACGCATTCAATCAAAACATTTGATGTATAAAACACGAATCCTATCAAAATCAGTATTTTCGTTGTGATTATGGATTTTGCATGACATTGTTTACAGATCACTGATGTCTTTTCTTGCCTGTATCTTTGTTTTTATGCTTTTATGAAGCTAAAATGGTAATGACATAATGTTTTCATTGCATGCTGTATCAATGTATCAGAATGTATCAATAGTGCTTGGTCCCTAGATGTTTCTGTCAGCAGTTTTCATTTTTATCTTTTTTGTTTCATATTACACAGAAAGACAAGACTAATGATAAATTTTACATTATTTGCTTGATTCACAAAAATATTTTCCAATATGGCTTGTCTAGTGGGGATCAATTCTGTGTTGTGTCAGCCAAAACATTGTATCATTATGAATGGTATTTTTCCTTATATATTCCTACTTCCTCAAAACAACTTCAGATTGGTTCCTGGGTATTGAAAGGAATGGAGACGGGAGAAAGTGACAATAGAATTACATTACTTTTATGTAAGTTTATGTGCTGGATTTGAATACTGCTTTGATTTAGTTATTTTAAGGTCGCCCTATTTACTAGGAAAACGTATTTTCTACATGCTTGTAATAGTGGTCAAGAGATATGATTCCGTATTATTTTTATGTTTAGGGTAGGAATACGTTTTGACAATTTTTGGAATGCAGTGAACAGAGTTCAAAATTTAATTCTGCTTTTAATACTTGTAAAAAAGACAAACTAGAATCTAGTATGTGTCTCATACTGCTTTACATTTGCAATAATACTCGGATCAGGGAAAGGGACATTGAGTGACAAGAAAATTTTTGGGGAAACACAAATAAGTTATTTCAAAAGCAGAGCACTTAGCCAACAGTTAAAATAAGGAAGAAATAATAATAATAATAATAATAGATAGCATTTGTATAGCGCATATCCCTGCTCAGCAGCAACAAGGAAAGAAAATGCTTAAAACCTCAAAGCAGAAAATTGGGCTGTTTCCCTTCGACCCACGGAAAAGGTGAGAGGTTCATGGCATAAAGGATAGAAATGGTATGCTTCTTGAACTGCTAATGGCAAAATGAATTGAAAAGGAAAAGCAAGGGAAAAAATGTGACAAAAAATAACTTAAAGAAAATTCATGGATGACATCCATACATCTTGACGCGTAAAGCCTTTTGTTTGACTGAGTGTACTTTGTTCCTGTTGTATCTCTATAATGCTGTTTAACCATGACTTTTTGCCTCTTTTTTATTCAACCCTTATGGTTCTGCCCTAGCCATATGAATATAATATATGTATATCTGTTTGCTCTTTGGTTGTATGAATGAATTATAATCCTGCTCACAAGTAATTTTGCTTTTACACTCGATTGAGAAAGTCAAACATACATAGTGTTTGCAACTGTCCTATATGTATCCATTCTAAAATCAATAATGATCTTATTGTCGATCAGTTCCAGGGTTCATCATACTTCATTTCCAAGAGCAATACCAGTGAGGCATAGTTGTTTAATTTTGTATTTTTATTACTTACAGTTCAACTTTGTTGAGTTATGGCAAAATCCATTATGCATGTACACATATTTATTTGAGTTTTAATCCTTTGGATGGAACATGAAAATGGGATATACTTTCTGACTTGACATTTTTATGTATATTCTGCAGTTCTTTTACCTTTTGTTCTAAAAAGAATGGGTTATTGTTTTACAATTCATCTTACTTTTAATAATGTTGTAGCTACATTGTCACGAATGTGTAAAACCAACAATAATAAACCATCCTGGAAGGACAATCTCGGCCTCTGTATTCTGTGTAGTTTACTTTGACAATGTGCTACCGCCTCAATTTTTTTGGGGGGTCTTCTGAATCCTGTATCTGTTGTGTTAACGTAATAAACTCCATTGACTAGAATCAACTCTAAGCCTCTTCTTTGCTCCGGTGTCCCTTCTTCCTTCTTTTGGTGCAGTGTCACTTTTCTGAATTTGTTGTGTATACTGATATACAGTGGAATCCTGTTAAAACGAGAGGGAGGGAGCTGGGGCGAAATGTCCATTACGTTACAGCAGGATTCTCGTTATAAGGGATCCAGTAATAAATTCAAGGGGAATAATAAAGTAGGCCCAATCTATGAGTTTGGTGTTCTGTTTATTTTTTAAAAATCTCCGCTGATGATAATTTTGTTCTACATGACCTCTTGATCTTACTTGATCAAAAACTCAAATCAGGTGTCTTTCTCTAGGGCTAGCGATGTTGACGGTTTGGCGTTGGCAATATGGAAAGGGCTCTAGGATAGCACTGTGACCTCTCCATCCCCTCATCGGAGAAATGAGAGGCATGGTAGGCCGAGATAATCTAGACTAGGCTGGCCTATCCCGCGATGCATCCTGCTTGTCTGCGCATGCCACACCCTCCCCACTCGTTTGCTCCGGCCTTCACTGTTGGCACACATGGGCTCTCCCATTCTTTGTTTCGCTAGATCACCAACAAGTTTCTCAACTGACGAGGTTTTACCTAGATTATAATTAGCCTGTGCTCTCTGCACGGCAACAGCAATATTCCGCAATAACTCAATAACCGACTCGAGAGTTTGTCTGATTGCGTTAAAGCAGTATTTTATTGACAAAGATAAAGAAGGGAAAAAAAACGGGGTTGAAGAATTGTGTCTTTATAACAGACTTCTCGTTGTTTCAGGACTCGTTATAAGTGGACTCCACTGTAATATGTGACTTCTGTGGGTTGGGCTTGTTTGTTATTTTTTTTGTGTGGGGGAGGGGGGGGGATCAATCCTGCTTTGCCTTTTGGTTCTTTGTCCCAGTTTTATGTGTGAGTCATGTTGTCAGCTTTTCCCGCATTTTTTCTTCCCCCGGGGCAGTGCCACTGACTGTAGTGTCTTTAGGCCATTCCCAAAGGGGGACATTTCTCGTTCAAGCGCAGTAGAATTGTAAATGGGCTGATTCATGTCACGCTCATAACTGTGCCTAATCTACAACAGGGAACTGCTGCTTTTTCTTTATTAATCCTTACTATTGTCATTTTCCTCTACTTCTTTTGTATGTTTGTCACTCTCTTGTGACCCGCTATTTCCGGGGTGCCTTGATAGTCGAAGCAGACTTTGTGCTGTTGAGGCTAGAGAGGTGAGCAGAATAAGTCTGATTCCTTGTAAAGACTTCTCTGTTGACACCCACCCCTTGGCGCTCATATGACCTTATGCAGTTGCGAGCGCCGTAAAACCTTCTACTATGACAAATTAAAAAAATTCTTCTCTGCATCTATGGTGCAATAGTTAGGCTCTTTACTGTTACACCAAGAATCCTGGAGCTCGATTCTGGTGTGGTTTGTTTCTTCTTTCCTATCAAACACTATCGTCCTTATGATCTCTCGTCCTTCTTTTTTATGTTTGTTACTCTCTTGTAACACCTCTAATCTTCTGGCGCTCATATGACCTTATGCAGTTGCGATCACCTTAAAACCTCTACTAAAACTAAAGTACTAAAGACATTGTAGTCCAATCAGCCTGGTTTGGTCCTGATGAGCAAGGTTGAGGCAGTCCTCCTCTTAATATCTAGTATGTAATATGGTCGTTATTGAGTCGATGGGTCCGGTATGGCGTCGGTGGCCAAGTGGTTAGGGCTAATAGGCTATCGGACTCACAACCGTGAAGTCGTGGGTTTAAGTCCCGCCAGGGACCCAACACTGTGTCCTTGGGAAAGGCACTTTACAGAAATATTTCTAACTTCACCCAGATGGATAAGGGTACCCGGATATAGACAGTGAAAGATCTTGTCAGTTTGTTAGTGTTTGAGCATATGAAATCTGCAGCTTGCACTGTATGCTTCTAGAGAAGCCACAAATGTTTCTGAGTGTTCTTGGGTCTGCTGGGGTAACTAATAGCGCATAGAGCACGCTATCAGGCTTGGATATATGCACTATATAACATGTAAATGCAATTAATTATTATTATTATTATTATTTAAAAGACTTATAATTAACTAAAAGTATTCCTACTTCCTGGGGGTGGAGCAGTTGTTGTCCCCTGTGGAGGATGTCCCTAAAATTTTGTATGTATGTGTATACAATGTATCTAGTATCTATAGTCGCAGCCAGGGGTTAAGTTTGTGAAAGTGAAAGTAAATGGTTATTTTCAAGGGTTGGGTAGAATTGAACAAGGGAGGATGATAATAATATAGAATGCAATATATATGTAAGTGCAGTTCCCTGTTGCTAATATGATGGTAATGTTGAGAAAGTCAGTAATGAGGATGGGGATGTGGAAGACAATCAAAGAAATTTGCTTCAACTGCTGAGCCTCTTCTTAGTCTTAAAGTAGATGAGATACAACTTTATTTTATCTTGGAAATGGTCTTCCAGTTTCAATACATGCGATCAAACATCTACAATTTGGTCTTTCCTCCTTTTTGTGCTTGTTTCTCTCTTGTAACACATCTAATCTTCAGCACTTATATAACCCTGTTGTGTTTCAAGTGCCGTAAAACTCTGACTTTAAAATATTTTTAAAAGATTAATTGTGTACTGCCTTCTTCAGAGCTGTTTCAAGTTTGAAACTTTAGGCCTATTACTACTATGGTTTGTAAAAATGGAATCAAAAGGACTCCCCCTTCTCCTCTCTTTTACACCAATCGCTCCTTCTGTCTGCAGTCTCTGTCTTTCTTTCTCTCTCATTATCCTCTCATGTATGAAAGCCTATACATAACTGAGAGAGAGAGAGAGAGAGAGAGAGAGAGAGAGAGAGAGAGAGAGAGAGAGAGAGAGAGAGAGAGAGAGAGAGAGAGAGAGAGAGAGAGAGAGAGGAGAGGAGGGAGAGAGGGAGGTAGAGAGGAGGGAGGGAGGGAAAGAGAGGGAGAGAGAGAGAGAGAGAGAGAGAGAGAGAGAGAGAGAGAGAGAGAGAGAGAGAGAGAGAGAGAGAGAGAGAGAGAGAGAGAGAGAGAGAGAGCGTGCACGTGTACACATAAAAACACACCATTCTATGGAGTGTTGAAGTAGAGTGAAAGTGAATATTATGAGCCTGCGCTGCGCGTGGCCAGAAATTTTACAAATTGCTCTTTTACGGAACACACCTTCATGCCAAGGCCAGCCACTCTAGCGATCAATTATTGTTTTGTAGTTGTAGTGCTCAGCGGTCAGCAAGCGGTTGCCAGTGTTGAGGGGGCTGGGCCGGCAGCCAAGGTATATATATAATAAATTATAATTGTAATACTTGATAATAGTTGAGTTAAATAGTGCAGTCACGCGAAGTACTCAGTGCATATTTGTGGACGTGCGGGTATTTTCAATACTGTAAAACTAATGCTTTCTTTGTAGACTACTAGAATCTACAAAAACACCAGCGTCGAGTGTCGGATTGGAGAGTGGAAACTGAATCGCTACGTCGAACGTGAGAACAAGAATTGAGGAGGTAAGTCTAGATTTAGATCTAGATCTAGATCTAGATTCTATACTTAATAAACATTCTCATCTGGTCCAGAAAATATTAGATCTAATCTAGATCTAGATCTAGAATCAAGATCTACATCTAATGAGGCACAAGGATTTCAGAAAGAACGGGCTCAGCCACATGCTGTTAATTTTGAGAAAAAAACCACAATATTGTCACAGGCCCACCCCACCTCGACTGTGCCCTGCATGATGGAAGTTATCACTACCACTCTCAAAAAGAGTAAATGAATGCACTGATTGATTGCTGGAACTGAATTTTATTTTTTTCAATTGTTTTTAACGAAAGAGCATTCATTGTGGAAACTTTACAGAGTAATTTTGATTTGATTTGCATACAATACAAAAAAGAAGAAATATTGATGAATGAACTATAAGCTGAATTGACGTTTTAGAGGGACTATCTCTACACTAGATTCTACCAATTTGAAAGTGGAGAGTTAAAAACTTCAGGTTACAAAACCACATTGTTGAAGTTTAAGTTAAAAGTGCTGTAATTATGACAAAATGGGCCTGTGACAAACTGGGCAGCAGCAGAATGGCTACTTGACAGTCAGTAGAATGATGAAAGATATAAAATGCAAGGGACCTCTGAAATTATCGCAAAGATGCAATAATAATTGACTGTGCCCATTCTTTCATTGGAGTCCTGATTTATGTCTAATGCATTAAAGATCATGTATTCTTTTTGTTCTTGGTATGCAAGAAATTCTATACACCAAACTGGCCTAATCCTCAAGAAAGATTATCATTACACCTTTACCTAACAGGCTGCCACCAGTGGCGGTGGGGGGACCAAAATTATTTGCGTGGGGCTTGGGTTGCTTCCACTTCTTTACCACCACCAAATAATAAGCAATAAGAACTAAACAGTGATGGTTTTTCTACACTCACGGCGAGCCACGGCATTTTGAGAACCATATAAACAAGAAGCTGCCGTGCAGTCCCGGCATTGAGAAGAATAAGACTGTCATGGTGCTAGCGTGTTGTAGGAGGCGACTAAATGCCGAACCGGGTCTCCCGAAACAGACTCATCCTCCCTCCAGGTCGGGGTTGAGTCACGAACCTCTCTCGTAAAAAGAACCTGTTACAGAAACACATACAAGCAAAAGCCATTATCTCTGCTTGGCTGGCCGTGTATCTTCTCCGAATGGAGAGTTTATAATGCGAGGCAGTGAAAGCTGAAGGGAAGCTGCTGGGTAGAAGCTTCCACCATCATCCAAGTCCAAGTCTCTCCGGATTGGATCGTGGAATGTTAGGACCCTTTATGAGGCTGGAAAAACTGCACAGGTCCTCCAAGAGATGCACTGATGCCACCTACACATACTGGGAATCAGTGAAACCCACTTGACCCGGTTTGGACTGAAGCGAAAGGACCACACGGGGAAGGAGTAAGGATGATCATAATTATATCCAAAACATCTCAAAAGACCTTCTGGGGCTGGGAAGCGCATGGTTCAAGGATCATTATGGCTTCATTTGGAACTAAAAAAGAACTCTAAAAAAGAGATGGTAGGAAGAAGGTCATAAACATGAACATCATACAAGTGTATGCCCCAACCAATGTGGCAGAACAGGAGAATAAAGATGACTTCTACAACCGCCTTTCGGAGTGTGATGACAAACTTCCAGGTAAGGACATCAACATTGTCATGGGAGACCTAAATGCAAAGGTAGGTTCGGACAATGGTCAAGCTGTGAGGAAATCATGGACAGACATGGATTAGGAGAGGCAAACGACAACGGAGAAAGATTCCAGAACTTCTGTGCATTCAACAACTTGGTTACAGGAGGAACAATCTTCCCACACAAAAGGATGTATAAGGCCACTTGGGTCTCCCCGGATGGAACTAAGGAAAACCAGATTGATTATTTTTGCATATCCCGAAAGTTTACACGCTTACTGGAGGAGGACGTCAGTCTTACGAGAAGCAGACATCGCATCAGACCACCATCTGATCCTTGGAAAGATGAATCTGAAACTGAGAAGGTATGCACAAATCACAACTGGAAATCGCCAAAAGTATGAGGTGAGCCTTCTGAAAGACCCAGTAAAGAAGAATGAATTCAAGTTGGAACTGAGGAACAGATTTCAAGCCTTTCAAGATCTGGATGAATATGAAGTAAACAACACTGGGACAAGATAAAAGAGTCAGTAAATGCAACTTGCCAGAGCATCCTTGGACCCAAAGTCAACACCAGGAATGAATGGATTTCACAGGACTCTGTAGACAAAATTGAAAGAAGAGAGCTGAAGGCCCAAGTCAACAACTGCCGTACCTGAGCTGAGAAACTCGCTGCACAACAAGAGTACACCGAAGCAAACTGGGAGGTAAAGATTGTACATCAGACAACAAAGACTCTTTCAGATAGGTTCAGCAAGCCCACTCTACCAGTGAAAGACAAAGAGGGAAAGACTATCTTTGACCCAGAGGAGCAACTTAACCGATGGAGAGAACACTTTGATCAACTCTTGAACAGACCTCTTGAACAGAAAACCAACTAGAAATTTTTCCAGCCAGAAATAACCTCCCAATAGCTGTGGAACCACCTTCGAGAGAAGAAGTTACTGCAGCTATAACAGCACTGAAGTCCCACAAGGCTGCTGGTCCTGACCATATACCACCGGAAGCCTTTAAAGCAAATAAAGATACTTCAGTGGAAATTGTCTATGCTCTATTCGAAAAGGTTTGGCTAGAGGAGGAAATACCATCAGACTGGAAGGAAGGCCACCTAATCAAGCTGCCAAAGAAGGGAAACCTCAGCAATTGTAACAACTACAGAAGCATAACAGTCCTGTCTATACCTGGGAAAGTCTTTAACAGGATACTCCTGGAGAGAATCAACTTGGCAGAAGATGAGAAGCTCTATGGAAACCAGGCAGGATTCCGCAAGAACTGATCATGTGTGGACCAGATCGCTACTCTGCGCATCATTGTTGAGCAATCGCTTGAATGGACTTCACCACTCGTGGTCAACTTCATTGATTATGAAAATGCATTTGACTGCGTGGACAGGGAAACTCTCTGGAAACTCATGTTGCATTTATGGAATACCTGACAAAATCATCAAGCTTGTGAAGGCCACCTATGATGGAACAAACTGCCAAGTTTTCCACGAAGGACAACTCTCAGAATTATTCCAGGTACAGACTAGGGTGCGACAAGGATGCTTCCCCTCACCTTTTCTCTTCATACTGGCAATTGACTGGATTATAAAAAAAGCCACCAGAGGCAAGCGCAATGGAATACAGTGGATCCCTTGGCAGCAGCTGGATGACTTGGACTTCCATATTTTTGCGTTTGTCCTTTTTCAAGGTATTTGTGTTCAACAATTCTATCCTATCTGGTGCAAATGTCGCTGATTGCATTTGGCAAGATAGCATTGTGGTCTGATAAATACAGCCATCACTGTATAAAAGGAGCATAGCATATTTATTGTCAGTAGGCTCCTCCAGGAAGTTACTGACACAAAAAGAGAATTCATTGGCAATCAATGGTCCTTCTCCTTGGTGCCAAACCTGACACTTCATATCTTTGGTTTCCAAATTAGATTTTTTAAAAAAGACAGCTAATTTGGTCCTGTAATGATATAGTACTCCAGATGAGTTCAAGGCCATACTATAACAAGTCCGCTTCCAAGTCCATGCACACTCGACATAATCTGGTCCCATTCACTGGGTTTTGTGCAAGCTTCTTGTTAGATTCTTTCTCCTACTCTGCATAATTCACATTGATCCTTCCGACATACATACAACAACAGGTCGCTCTTTTTGAGTATCTCTCTAAAGTCGTCTGGGACAATGTGTGTGACTCTTTCCGTTTTTTTTGGTACTCTCAATAAAGGCCTCTGAGGCTTTGAAAGTGTGAGGCAAAATAGCTTTTGCCTGTATTCTGTCTGTAGTAATGGGACTGCAATTTCGTCGAGTTTGTGGAAGAATTATTTATCTCAAAATTGCTTGTCCTCTTCTTCTCTCTGGTAATTTGACAATTGTGGAGCTGCCATCTCCAAGTCATGTAAACTGTCTTTGCAACAGTCATGAATAGCCACTGAGTGAGGGCATTGGTATCATATAGGTAGAATGTATGAGATTTTTTTCAAATTGAACTGTAGAGCTGGAGAGTTGACGGTGAAAGCGAAGGTTTTTTGAAGAGAGAATTTTCGGGGCGAATATGTTTAAATGAGTTGGCTTTTTTTTTGGTAACAAATTAAGTATAATCTACCCGGCACTGGTTAATTGATCAGTGATTCAAGAATGGTACATGGCAGACACAGCAAGGGGCGCATACTTAAAGTAAATTTTAAAAACGTGAAAAATCGCAATAAAAATATTTTCCAATAGTTGTACAGAATGTGAAACAAGCACCCCTTAGGTGTCAATCATAGACTGTAAAAAAATTCATTTGTCATTAGCTTTTGCCGCAATTTACCGATTTGATCGAGTCAGTATGAACATATCTTTTGATGCCATCATACCCTTTCTCAACTACTCTACCAAACTCAGTGATAGATTACACAAACCACCTTTACAAAATCTTCTAGCTATCGATAGGGCTCTAGCAAAGGCGGCACTTTGTTTTTGATGTTACCGTCCAGTCTGTTTTGACAAAGGCCACGGTCATGTGGATGGCGCCGCCTACCCGACAGGTGAACGCCTCAAAGAGCCATTGAATCTGTCTGATCCAACCGCCCATTTACCACCGGGCTGCAAAACTGGCACTTAGATGGTTGAATCACGTGGAAATTGGGGACTGGTGTGATATAGATAATTGATTTACTGAAGGATTGAAACGCTTTGCAGTAATCTTTCAAACTCAGGATTTTAACATAAGGTGTATCAAAGGCTGTACTACACCTAGGGATAAAAGAGTGATTTTAGAATATTTTGTTGCTTAAGCGGTTGAATCACACGGTTAGCCATATGTTCTATCATTATAAATCTAGAAGGTGGGTTTCCCTCTCTTGCTAGTTTGTAAGAAGTGTTTGTAGCCAGTGTTATTCCCCATCCCATAAGGCCCACACACAAACAAACCCCCCCCCCACCGGCCCAGTAAAAAGTGAGTAAAAATAATGAGTGGCATCAAGACACTACCATTCCTACTGGACTATCAGAATAATTAACCATTTTCTTGCTTTTTATTTCAGGTTTGTGTTTATGTCTTTGGCGGTTGCTATGGCCTCGACTGAACAGACACCTGACTTTCACATGTTGCATTTACAAGCTGCTGTTGGTATGTCTCTCATTTTGTGTGTATGTGTGTGTTTGTGTATGTGTCTGTGTGTGTGTGTGTGTGTGTGTGTGTGTTTGTAAAAAGGAGAGAGGGGGGGAAGGAAGGAGAGAGAGAAATAGGAGAGGAGTCAGAGAGAGAGAGGAGAGAGGAGTCTCAGAGAGAGAGAGGAGAGAGGAGTCTCAGAGAGAGAGAGAGGAGAGTCAGAGAGAGAGAGAGAGAGAGAGAGAGAGAGAGAGAGAGAGAGAGAGAGAGAGAGAGAGAGAGAGAGAGAGAGAGGGGAGGAGTCAGAGACGGAGAAAAAGAGAGAGAGAGAGAGAGAGAGGGGGGGGGGGGAGATTCAGAGAGAGAGGGAGAGAGACAGATGAGGGAGTTTGTGCCTTTAATTTGTGAATATATATTCAGAAAATTTTGCTTTTTATTTTTTGTTTGTTTGTGGATGTATTTTGTCATGTAAAGTAGTTTGAACTCTTCATTGCAGTGTTATCTCGTTTGAGTGTGTGTCTTAACTTGAGCATAATACAAGTTGTAATGAGAGAATGTTGTTTGTAACCTTCCTTGCAGCTTTTCATTCTGTTCGCTGGTCATTGGATGGTGTCAAAATTAAAGATACTGGTATACCTTTTAATAACAAGACCGTTATTTTGCGTGTTCTGTTCTTTAAAACATCAATAGAAAGACGATTCATTTTTCTTTTTTCGGCCTAGGTGTTTGACGTATTTGAATTATCTGACTGTATACTGTTGAACTTGTTCTAATGGCCATCTCTCTCAAGAAAAATCACCTGTAAAAATTACCTTTTTCCTTTTTTTTATACATTATTATAATGTTACTATCCAAGACATCCACAGGTCTAAGACAATCACTTATCTCCTCAACAATGGACGGCTGTCTTGGACAATTTTGATAACTTTTATTATGTTCAAATTATCATGAAGTTTGTTTTTAACAGACCCGAATGATAGTCAGGTCCTGTCTTTTTAAATGAGCTCTCTTACCAGTGACTTCTCTATTTTCTAAGACCATGGTTTTCCCCCTGTTCACAGTTTCTTCTGTGATAATGATCACAGGGCACCTTGATCTTAATGGAGTACAGTAGTCTCCGCCTAAGATCCCACCGTTTATGATCCTGATTCCTTTAAGATCCCGCTGTTTTAAGATAACAGAATATTTACTATACAAAAGTCACCTCAAAGGTCCTGCTCTGATTCACTTTGGAGGTCTACATTCTGCTAAGATCCCGCATTTCAGACCATAATTTATGGAACAAAAACCCAGGTAGGCTTAGCCAATCAACTAAGAGTGAAAAGTTTAGATCACTGAACTGCTCATCAAGTTAAAGATCTGCCACTCTCGTGAATGAGATCACATAAGCGTTGTAAAACTTGATGAAACAGTACAATGTTTGCCCCAGACGGGATCACACTAAGGTGTGAACTGACTGATGCGTTTGTTTTCCCCAAACATCGCACTCGCATCTGAGCTCTCCACCTAACCTTACATCACTTGCTGGGATCTCATCGAACTGTGAGCTCTTCCTTGACCATAGTCGTCGTTGTCGCTATTCTCGAATGTGCAACACAGACTGAATTTTAATTAGTGTGATCACAACGTAATGGCGCGCTACTACAAAGGTGGGGGAACTCGGTCAGAGATGGAGAGCTATACAATTTTGGGACAGGTAAAGGGGAGGGGCACCTGAATAAGCGTAGATCTTGAGACTCACGATAGGATGATTTTAAAGTGAAAATGGCATGCCACATGCCACTGTGATTTGTCATCAAGGTTGACCACTCTTTGCTCGCCATAAGTCTTAAACCCAGCCAGGGGACCCGTCAATTTGACCATTTATGAGCCTAAATATCGGTCACTGTGGATTCTCCCCTTCGTGAGTCGGGTAAGATCCCGCTTTTTCTTTGCTCCCGAGCACCGGGATCTTAAGCGGAGACTACTGTAGATGAAAAACTTTTTTTTGTTACTTCATGTATTTTGTATCTGAGTTTTAATTAAAAAGTATATAAATAATTTGCATGTATGTATGCTGCTTATATCTAATTTCAAAGCTTTAACCACCCCTTTTCAGAACACAATTCAGATGTCTTGGAGACTATTTTGAGGACGCTGCAAGATGTTCAGTACCTGAGCGTAAAGACAGACAAGAGAGTTGGAGCTCTTGAGACTCAAGTCAAAGAACTTCTTTCTAGGAACTCACAAGTTCCGCTAGATCAGGTCAAAGGTTGTGACCTGCCTGCTTCTGCAGCCCAAGCCACTACTTTGACCAGTCCTGAAGTCATTGGAGAGATCATGGACGGACTGAGGGGGGAGTCGACAGAAGTCAAGTCTCTCATTAGGGAAGAGGCAGGCCGTCTTGGTGATATTTGTTCGCAGCACCACAGTGATGTCGTTTCAAAGCTTGAAAAAGCAGAGGAGTTGATATTACCACCACGGTCTGAGATGGCCGCAGAAATTGTGAAAATGACATCGCACTTTGAAGGAGTAGAAAACGGAATGAGAACAATTGAAAATTCTACAAATGAGTATTTATATCTTTTGAATAATGTACATAGGAATCTCATACCTAAGGAGGAGCTGACTAATACACTGAAAACTCTGACTGAAGCCTCAGAGAAACAATTATGTCAGTTAAATAAAATTGTAAAGGAACACGATTCAGTTGTCAGTTCAGGGAACTTGTCTCATATGAAAGGGGCAGGGATGCAAGTATGTTCCAGGTTACATGAACTTAGAGATGAGTTTGGAACTAGGTGGAAGACAGCATCAAGAGATGACAGCCCCGATTCAGATCGTGAAGTCGCAGAATGTCATGGTATCCAGGGCGTTGTTGAGACATCCGAGAAGAACCATGAGTACAGGTATCGCTTTGGTGTTAAAGATTTTAGCAGGTGGAGATGGGGAGAGTCACAATACAGTGACGTGTGGCATATAGGTGAGGACCCATCTCATGTGAAAGGTGTTGTAAAGTTTTCTTTTAACAATGAGAAAATAGCGGTGGGTCTGCGCTACAGTCGGTGCCTGTGTCCCCAAGTTGTTGGCTCAGGTCTTAGAGGGAAGACGCAGGTTGCTGTGACAGTGACGGCCTTGTGTCAAGTTGGTAAGGGATGGGACTGGAAGCTGGGGAGTAAAGAGGGTGAGATTAGCGGAGAGTTTGTAGACTGGGAAGAGTGGTTGGTGTCAGGTGATATACCTATCAGTGAGTTGAAGAGACGGGGATTGGTGAATAATGATCAGCTTGTGTTGCAGTATCAGATCTGTTTACCAGGGATGGTGGGAAAAGTAATTGATGTCTAGAAAGGTTGACAGAGGCTGAACGTTGTAGAAGAGAAGCTCACAAGAAAAAAATGGATTTACACTTAAGTACTAACCAACACCAGAAAACTTTTATGTTGCTTATTTCAAGTTGTGAAGCTCTAGTAAACAGGCAGACAGAATTAACTCTACAGTTCTGGCAGCTTCTGCTGTCTTTTGTGTCAGACATGTTGATCTCTCCTTTCCTTCTGAATGAAAACTTAAATCTGAATGGGGAGTCGATGTCAGATCTGCAGATTATGAAATGTATATTGGAGCCCTGGCCTTAGTGCTCTGGAGGGAGCAGCTTTTTCTCTGGTCTGACTGCTTGTGACTGACGTCTAGAGGCTACTGCCTACAGGTTATAATAAATATGCTCTCTTTTTTGGGGCATGGAATGAGATTGCCAAAGCTGATCTCTGACAATACCTGTTAATTCTTTGAACCCTGAACTTTGATGTTTCCCAAATTCCCATCCGTGGACTATTGGAACAAGGCCAGCTCTAGGTGCACCAGCCGTACAGGACTGGATATCAAGGGTTGTTCAGAATATCATTTATATATATATATATCGTATACCACCAGGCTTAGACTAGGTGGCCCCCAGCCAGTGAGATGTAGGTGTGGCATAGCCTGTCTGCAGCAACAGATGCTTCAAGTCAGCAGATTTGAACAGAAGGTTGTATGATGAGGCCCCTTATTTCTCAGCGAAGTAAAAAGTAGGCTTGTAGACCATTCTGTGCAGAACATAGAGGAAGAAGTCTGACGCAAGTTCAGTTTATTCTATCTTACGATTCTGTTTCAAGAAACAGCTGAGTATATCATCGACTTCCCACAGTTGTGGAACAGAAGAGTCATAGCCTTGTTAAAAACTCATTATAGTTATAGCCTTCCATTAAAATTAAATAACAATTCTCTGTCAGTGGAAATGAATAAATTCACCTTTGTTTGAGAGGTGTAACTCTCATGAAATTGAAGATGAATTTCACTATATTTTCTATTGTCCATATTTTGTCCATCAAAGGGAAATGTTAATTCCTCCCAGCCTGACCCGGCCCAGTGACAGAAATATGCAATGTTTGACCCATGATAAGAGATATGTGCACAACCTGTACTTTTTCATTTAAGGAAACTTTATTTAACAAATGAGTATTTTATATTATGTGATGTGGGCCAATGGCCTCAAATACTGATTGAACTTACTTACTTTCAAGCCTAGGAAGACCAAACTTTGACGGCCATTTTCTCATTAATTTTTAAAATCTCTGACGTCAGGCTACCCCATCTTCTGTCAATTGCAAATATCTTGACTTCTGTTAAAGTTAAGTGGGTATTTTATTCACCAAAAACAAATAAACAGGGTCTCAGATGATGTCAATAACTCCAAATGTCCAAAACCTGAGGAGTGCTTGGTTCTACTGCATTATGACACGTATAGTTTTGTTTTATACTTGAGAACATCTAGAGTCTTCTCTTTACACCCTTTTTTTCAGAGTTGATCTAGTCTGGGATGGTGTTTAATGTCAAATTCTTTCATTCCTTGACACATTTGTTATGTGTAGGCCTACAAACAGTATAAAATTAGGTGAGTAATTACATAATATATGCATGAAATACATTGTATTAAAAGGGATGTTGAAGTTGAAATCTACATTCTCATTTGAGAAACAGTATATATATAAAATGATTTCTCTGCTACTTCATTTGGAAGATTGTCTTTTACTTTTGCTTATGTTGTGAGGTTGGTTTCTTATTTCCACAGCGTCTATGGAGGGTATTACATTTTGTGTCTGGTTTGGAAAAGCAGAGATGAATAGCATGTCATATATAACAGTCAGAGAAAGGCATCATAACACAAATTTTGAAAGAACTGTTGATACAAAGGTGTAGCTGGGATTTGTAATCTTTGTTTTGCTACCTCGTTTAAACTGTCTCAGGCGAGGAGCAGAAGAGTCTGTTGTTAGAACAAGCACATTGTTAGAAATTTTCCCTCTCAGCCATAGTCATTACATGTACAGCATGGTCTCAGTAGAGAGAAGTCTTTTTTTTTTGTAGCAGAAATACAAGACGAGGGAACAGTCAAGTCAAGTTTCTTGAAAGGGGACTGGCCATATTTCTTTCTTATCCTTTTTTGCTTCATGGAGTATTTTTTTTTCATGCTGTTCATGTGCCATGGATGTACAGAAGAGAACGAATGAACTGTCAAGTTTGAAGTGTAAAGTATTACTTGCATTTCGCTCTACCAGAGTATCAGTATTGACTCATTTTGCAGTATTAAATATGTATGTTGAACTTAGTAGTTGCAGACTTATCATTTTGTTATTTATTGAAACATCTTTTATATATTTGTACAAATTGTGTGAAAGGATTGTAGTTGGTGATTATGGGTCTCTCTGAATTGTTTTCTGTTCCTTGTTCAGGATTTTTGTTGACACAGATGATCTTTTTTTTTAAATTTGAAAGTATGCTGCTAGTTTTTTGTAAAATGTAAGAAATACACTGAAATTAATGTGCTACATAATATAGGCCTGCTCGGCACAAATGACGCTGTGTAAGGCCACACACAGGTTTTTGGGGTCCAGTTTGGGTCCAGACATACAATGTTTTTTAGTTTTTAAGATACTTCCCTAGAAAATGATGTGCTAAATGGAATGGAAGTACTCACAAAGCTCTATTTCAAAGAGACAGCTCCATAAAGTTTGTAACATTATGAGCCAATACAATTCTTTAGAGCGATTTTATGATGTTTTTGCTCCTTTCCTTAAAATGTTCATTTTTAAAATTTAAAAGCTGAGAACTCAAATACCATTTAAGATAAAGACATGAAATTCGTAGGGTAACTGCACCATGCAATTCCAAATAAAATGACGCTAGAATCTAGCTTTTTTTAATTTAAAAAAATATTTTAAAAGATTTTTTTACTCTGCTTTTAAAAAAAACTGATTTTGTCATTCGATTAATATATGCATGTTTTCTAAATGTAATAAAATTATTAATATTTACAATTTCAAGAATAAAAGCTAGCGTCATTTTCTTAAAATTTGTCTGCAGATTACAAATATATGTAATTACTTCATAGAAATCATGAATGGTTTTGAGTTTTTAGATTTTGAAAATGGTCCTTCAGATAGCCTGGCTTCACTCTAGTTTGCCATTTCTGTGATTATGTAACTAATAATGATTCCCAAAACTGAAAATTTTTAATCCTTGAATGGAATACTTTGAGAAAATTAGAAAAAGATAAGTAAAGATAACTTAATTGTAGATTTTGGTGCTAAGAAGTAGAGTGTGGCCTTAATTAAATAAATGCCAACACTCTTTGTGACTTGACGAGGACTTTTTTGATCAAACACAATGAAGACATACATCAGACGATGCGTGACTGGGACAGAAATGGTACAAAAATAAAGTGGAGGAATATGATTGACAAATAAGGGAAAGAATGATAATAGACACTAAGAACAGATAGGAATGATGGCACGTACATGTAGTCTTGTCGCTACTGATTTATATTCCTCTATTAATCTAGTATTCATTATTAGAATGTTATGTACATGACATATAAATCTAACCAACTTGGATTTAAGTTCTTAATAAATTAATTGTAGTATATTAATTGTTTTGGTGGAAACACAATACATTGCAAAGAAAACGGAGAAAAATTCAAGAGTAACTTCCATAGTAGGCTCTACCTGATGTAGCGGTTACTTTGCATCACTGTTCTTCCACAAAGACTGGCACCCAGTGTCATTATGCGGTGTATTGAGGCAATTTTTGGGCCAGAAAGGAACTAAAGCACATAAGAGAATGCGAAAATGCTATGGGTTTAACGCCTCTATCAACACTATTAGGTTAGCGGGACCTCCAAGTAACGTCCATCTCCGAAAGAAACGAGCCAAATGGAAATTTCGTGTGTAAAGTGCCTTTCCCTATAGTACGACGTTGGACCGAGCTGAAGCTCGAACCCCTGAACCACGCAAGCTCAGGATTACGAGTACGGTTGCCTAGCTTATTTTACTAGCTAGGAGAATGTGCTATTGAGGACATCCAGACACTTGTGTTTTTCTTTCCTAAATGCAACTTCAAGCCACATTGGGCATGGGCCCGCCTTTCCGCCTGTTGTTGTCATGCTACAATATAACAACACACAAGCCAGGAAGTGTGTGGTTGGCTGGTGCTCTGGTGTGGTTTGCTTCTTCTTTCCTACCAAACATCTATCATCCTTTTATATAAATAAATCTGTCCTCCTTTTTTATGTTTGTTACTCTCTTGTAACACCTCTAGTCTTTGGCACTTCTATGACCTTATTTTATTGTGTTGCAAGTGCCGTAAAACACTTCTAAAGGCCTACTAAAACCAAAACAAGTCTGAAAATGTCATGTTTTTATTGATTTAGACTTAGAGCTTTATTTTCCTCTCTCCCCACACCTGTCTGATGCTTATTTCGTAGGCGGTTTTCCATTGGCTTGCAACAGTGCTATATATATGAGACTCACACTTGTAATTTTTTTGTCATTCCGTTTGTGTCAAAACATTAAGGTCTGTCTGTCAGTCTGTCTGTCTGTCTGCCTGCCTGTCCGTTTGTCTGTCTGTCTGTCTGTCTGTCTGTCGCAGTCCGT